CTGGCTGGAGTTAAACCACAACAAGCTGTCAAGTTTGGTGGTCTTGACAACTGAACTCCACATCTGTTGAGTCTCCTCAGAAGAAAATAAATCTGATTAAGTTTCCCAAATATTCAGAAATATTCACTTATTTATTTTCTTAAGACATTTGTCTATGCCACAGGAGTGTGACAATATGAGTGACGAGAAAGGGCTGAAAAATAACAGTTACTGATAGCATAATAGTAATATTTTGTTTAAAAGTCTGCATATGTACATCAATGATGTTATAGGCAATTCAATTCTACGCACCTATGCCTTTGACGCATTCAATCCCCGTCACGTTCTCTGGACCTATTTCAACGAAAGATTTAAACACATTGTACAGCACCTGAAAAGAAAAGTAGACTAACTTAATATTTGCTGAATTAAGCCTATTAAAATAATGTCATTATGGGCCCCAACATTATGAATTCTGAAATTATGTATAACTGAGGGAAATTCTGTGTGCAGGGAGAAGATTTTGCAGATTTTTGAATTTTGCAAAATTGAAAAAATATAGTGGAGCAAGAAACAAAAATGTAAAAAAAAAAAAACCTTTCAATTTCAATATGATTTCTATCTATAAGAAGCATTGTTTCATCTAGATGTGCTTTCTAAAGCACTTCTCACTCTAAAATCCAGGTATTTGGCAGATTTATTTAAGCGCCTGTATAAGATAAATAAGATACTTAATAAGATAATAAAAAGATGTTAATAATAAGATACTGGATTGAAATAGGTTGAACATACATAAAATAAGTTGAACATAAAAGAGAATAAACTATAATAATTGTACTAAAGCTTTTAAAATAATTGACTAACAGTGAAAGTGCTGAAAGTAAAGAATTCATTTTGTCCATACCCCTGCCTAAGGAGATTTGTATGAGCATCACTCTTGACCTATGCCTGTCTAATCTGTTCTTAATTCTCCCAGTGATAGCGAACTTTACTATGGCTTTCTCAGCTTTCCTTGTTGCAGCTAAGCTTGTTAATTCTTATCATATCTACCCCAGTCATGGCATACAGGTTACTTCGTACTGTAACAGTAGTCTTTTACATATTTACATTTAAAGAATGCTACATCATCCACTTTCTTCTATCCTCCAGTCTTTCCTTTTTCAAGTAAGAACTCCAGTTGTTTCAAATATTCTCATAGGCTGTGCTTTCTGACTCTTGATCATGCTTACTCTTCTCTTCCGGATTTTCTTCAACAAACAATCAAACTTTCTTTTACTTATAGAGTGAGTGTTTGTATTCATTTCACAGCAACAAAAATTCCTTTCTTTCTGAAAGCTAGTGGTGTTGATACTTGAGTTCATCAACAGTTTATTTTAATATTTGTTTCTGGTAATACCCCAGAAGTACTAATGAGACTGATATCTAAAGGCAGTTAAGTTTCTCTGGAGGCCCTAAATGGCATTTTCAAACTTGTGTGAACAGTTAGGCTGCTGCCAGTGACCTTGCAGTGCCTTGCTGCCTTGGTTGCAAAAAATTAAGTCACTGAGCCTGGTAGACATGTCTTACCCTCCTTTGGAGATATGCAGAAGCAGG